CGTTCACGGTGAAAGTTGATGTATTTCCTCAGCGACCAGCACGGATCAGCTCCAGGCATGACGAAGCGGATATCGTCCTCTTTTGGAAGACCAAACAAAGTAGTTTCGCTTTCACAACAAAACACACAGCGCCTTCACGACATGGCTGCAGCGTCAACAATACTACAGCGAGAATAAAAGTTACGCCTTCTTTCTTTGCGTGAACATTTGGGCGGCGTTATGCAAATCTTCCCACATAGTGAGGTAGACATGTGGGGGCGTGCTAGAACGAGCCGTTTTAGGTAGGTGTGGCTGACTCTGAACTTTTATAAAGAATATCTCTTTGGATTTGAGACTTTAGTCTTTGCAACTTTACAGATCTTCTTTATGCACCAAGAGCTTGTAACACTCCAAAGAGAAAGGAAAAATTAAAATCGCATCATATGACCCCTTTAATAAGCTCATGAGTCAATAACAGTCTTTAATCAAATTTTTTTTTTTATGTTTTAAAAGCAACATATTGTTTAATACTAATAGTTGTTTTACATTTAAATATGTTCATTTTCTAACAGACACAGACAAACTAGTTGCTTACACTGGGCCATGTGGCTCGGGGGCAATTGTAACGCAAAGTTACAATTGCCCCTGATATTGCAGCCGTGATCAAATCTTGTATGCTAGCTAGCCATGCCTATATTAGCATAGGTTGTTCATGATATTTTTCAATAACCTACAGATAAAATGTATATAAGTTTAAATTTGCAGTCATCTAAACTTTAGACAGCAGAATACTATACATCCTAAAAGTAACTTTCATACTTCAAAATCATTTTGTTAAAAACTTCTGCTGAGATGAAATGATTGTGGTGCTCATTTTTGACAGGCAAAGAGAGAATCCTACTGAGCATGTACAGATTAAGTGTCATCACTCTAGCTTGTTTCTTATTGGAGGAATTGAGTGTGTTAGAATTGCCCCCGGTCTCCCCTACATACCAATTTTTTATCAGAACTGAATGACAGCAAATTAGGCAATGCAGCATGCGTTATATAAAGCATACAAAAGCTTTCTAGACAGCTAATTCATAATTTTCATGTGGTGAATGACAGAAGCCATCTTTCCTCTTATCCTCAGCATGTGGCGGCCAGCTCGGGCAGTGGAGCAGCGGATCTGGAGAAACTGTGCAGCATCCTGGAGGCCATTCCTCTCATCCAGTACATCTGCCTGGATGTCGCCAATGGCTACTCTGAACACTTTGTGGAGTTTGTAAAAAGAGTTCGGGAAAGGTTTCCAAAGCACACCATCATGGTGAGATTTTTGCCCAAACGTAATATAACAAATGTCATATCAATAAGACAAAAATATTTATTTATTTTGTGTTTTTTTAAGTAAAAATATCATATAACACATCTTGATCATTTAGGCGGGAAATGTGGTGACAGGGGAGATGGTGGAGGAACTCATTCTGTCTGGAGCTGATATCATTAAAGTGGGCATTGGGCCAGGTATCAAATTAGATTTCCCAACACTGTAATACATATTCATAGTAGACAATCATCTTTTAAATGAAATGACATATTACTTAATCTGGAGCACGTTGATTTGAAAACAATGTGAACTTCAGGTTCTGTATGCACCACACGCATTAAGACCGGTGTGGGATATCCTCAGCTGAGCGCTGTTATCGAGTGTGCTGACTCGGCCCATGGACTGAAGGGACACATCATCTCTGTGAGGCTCTTTAAATGGCTATCACTACTGTTAGCATGTTACCATGCTGTAATGCAATGTAATGTAATGCATGAGACTGAGAGGTGGGAACCCACAAAACAATGACATCACACTACCGCAAGAGGGCAGCATCCTCAATTCAATTCCAGTGTTTCCCTATCTTTTCAGTTTTACACGCCCCCTCAGAAAGACTAAAAGGTTTCATTAAAGGGGTCATATGATGCTGCTAAAAAGAACATTATTTTGTGTATTGGTGTAATGAAATGTGTTTATGCGGTTTAAGTTTAAAAAAACATAATTTTGCACATACTGTACATTATTGTTTCTCCTCTATGCCCGCCTTTCGATTTTTACAAAGCTCATCGGTCTGAAAAGCGAGGTGTACGCAGATAGTCCAGCTATCCAGTGCGTTGTGATTGGCCGAATTCCTCAAGCGTGTGACGGAAATGTTACACCCCAACCATACTGTGATGCCTTGTTCCGGCCGGAGCGACGAGAGAAAACCATGAAAACCCATTATAAACGAGGCATTTGTTGCATCCAGTGGGGACATAATTACGGATTATAATGACTTATACTGTCTTTTTACGTGTTGCATTGCAATGCGCCGCGTAAACATAAAACCATGTCTGTTGTGATTGGCCGAATTCCTCAAGCGTGTGACGGAAATGTTACGCCCCAACCATACTGTGGTGTCCTGTCCGACCGGAGCGACGAGAGAAAACCATGAAAACCCATTATAAACGAGGCATTTGTTGCATCCAGTGGGGACATAATTACGGATTATAATGACTTATACTGTCTTTTTACGTGTTGCATTGCAATGCGCCGCGTAAACATAAAACCATGTCTGCATTTGTGATCGGAGAAATGACAAACAACAAGTGCTACTCTACACTGCTCAAAACTCACGTTTGAATCGCCAGTGGCAAATTCTTTAAATATAAAAAAACATATTTACAGTCTGTGAGTCAGAACAGCCGGCATTGTAGTCTACTCTACCAGGATCAGGAAACAGTCCTCCATAAAATGCACTGGACACATCTGAATATTTGGGTTGAACAGTTCTGGAACAGTGTTGTAAATACAACTTAACCACTGATTTCTAGTCGTGTCCTCTTTTGTAAGGCCAAACAAAGTAGCTTCGCTTTCACAATGAAACACAGCGTCACACGCGGCGGCGGCCTAGAGTGAGGAACGGGCGGCAAGCTGAGTGAGAGGAGGCCGGTGAGCTTGAGAACGGCGCGGCCGGCGGATTTGACGAAGGAGTGGCCGGTGGCCTTGCGGCAACCACATGTGGCGACCCCGGGCTTGACTCCGGTTTTCATAGGCTAGCCTGTAAATTAGCATCACACTGGTTCCCTCGACAAAAAACAAATATAATTTTTCCAGTGGCTTTTTTAATTTTTGCAAAAACTAATTTCTGTGACCAACAAAAGTTTATGAAAAGTTTGTTTTGTTCATCATGATAATCTTCACAAATTAACACAACTTATTAATTTTGAAGCCTAAAAACAATCTCTAGAAATAAAAAGACTGAGGAAATAAAAACCACCAGTAAGCTTTGATTTTGGAACAATGGAACCGGAAGTGCTAATATACTTAGTCATTTCTGGGATTTGGCATACAAAAATATGTCATCCCTTTTTTTTTTTTTTTTACATCTGAACAAGAAATTTGTTTTTTTTATGCCTTAAATTGCTTTATTATTATCATTATTTTGCCATAATGACTGGCTGACTGTGTATGGAACTATAATATGCTAAGAAAAAATTGTCCATTACAACAAACAAAACAATCAGCCTATACACTACGGTAATAGAAATACTGATGTCCTCTCAGGTAATAGGCTATTTTACAACAGTTGATAACTGAAAAGCGAAATGGCACCAATTGAGTTTGTGTGAAACAAGAGAGATAATGGGCTTGGTTCCGAAAGTATTTTGACCTTTTATTTTTCACATAAGGATTTTTGTAAAACTCTTTGTTAAAGAGTTATAAAACATGAACCAAACCAACCAGCTACGATGTCAATCACAACATTACAAACTTTGATTTGAAGTAAAAAAGTACTTGAAAATCAGATAAAAAAGGCAAAGGTACAAGACTGAGAACGGTTTTACTGAGGGGAAAGAAATACAATCACATGAAGCGTTGCAAATGCAATAATAAAAAAAATCTATAAATATAAACTATTGATTTAAAGATGTTGATTATGTATGCAGAAACAACACATTGTTTATTGTAAAATATGCATATTATTCATACAAATATTTTAGTTTGAGAGCATAGGGAGACTGATTTGCATTGCTTCATGGGAGTGGGTGGGGACTAAAGTTTTTTTTTTTAATTATTATTAAAAAATAATAAATTGAAATAATACAGGCTGATAGCTTGAATAAAAGCAGGGTGACCATACATCCACAAAAACATATAACATCGATTAACCACCTTTAATGGTTTATAAATTGGAATTGGACTTTTACTCCCGGAACTCGACTGTTGCACTTTATTAGGAACCCAAGCGAATCCCATTGGCTCAAGCATGATAGTGTAATTCATATTTTTTCATTAAATGTGTATATTCAGACTTTTATACTCAACTTACATTCTTTTTAAACTACTGTACTGTGGTTAAAACTAAATGGTAAACACAAGTACAGACAAGCAGACAGCGCTCAATCAGTATTGCTTCATGGGAGTGGGTGGGGACTAAAGTTTTTTTTTTTAATTATTATTAAAAAATAATAAATTGAAATAATACAGGCTGATAGCTTGAATAAAAGCAGGGTGACCATACATCCACAAAAACATATAACATCGATTAACCACCTCATAGCTCACAGTAGGTCTGTCTTTAATGGTTTATAAATTGGAATTGGACTTTTACTCCCGGAACTCGACTGTTGCACTTTATTAGGAACCCAAGCGAATCCCATTGGCTCAAGCATGATAGTGTAATTCATATTTTTTCATTAAATGTGTATATTCAGACTTTTATACTCAACTTACATTCTTTTTAAACTACTGTACTGTGGTTAAAACTAAATGGTAAACACAAGTACAGACAAGCAGACAGCGCTGAATCAGTCTGGCTTATTGTATCGGTCATAACTGTTTCCCACAGCCAAGTGTGGGTTTGATGGTGTCTGATAAGATCTCAATGTCTTCCATCTACACTTTTTCAAATGAATGATCCAGCCCGGAACAGAAGCGAATACTCAAGGCCGCCACCTCCGCACAATACCCACACTCCATTGACTAGGTGCACTGGAGCTTAAGAAGCCTGTGGAATACCTCTGTGTGCAATTGCTTGCGAGTATAGCTTCATGTCTGTCTGTGAAATATGCCCACTGTATCTGACCTTTGAAATCCCATTCTCACAAATCACTCCAAAAAGGGTGCAGTTTGCAATTGGCACTGTAATTTTTATTAGTACGTGTATACTGCAACAATAAACTTGTACTGGTATACAGACAATTTCTTTTTTAAACAAATTTGTTCACAACCTGAATCAAATATTGTTTTGTTGTTCAGAATAATGAAATAAGTTCTAACTAGAAAACCGGCAAGCACCATCAAAGAAAGGGACCAAAAAAATCCAAGAAACAACGTGAGTGTATCCTACAAATAGACACACCACAATTAGAAAATAGAATTTCAATTAAAATTTTTTTATATTCGTTTTCTTTTTTTAAAAAAGCTAGTGCAAGTACAATATTTTTGCACAACTTACAGAGTATGCACGCATATGGAAATAAAATGAACCAAAAGAAAAAAATGGCCTTTCACAATGATTTCTTACCTAGGGATTTATATTTTTTTATATCTAGTTTCCTTTCTAAATAAGGTGCAAAACACTACTTCCTCTCCCAACAACCATCTCTTGCTACTGGCCAGACTCCTCTGATACAATGCCAAGAAAACAGAACCTCAGGACTGGATGCAACATTCAATTTTTCTTTAACAGTCTCGCTAAACATTTCTGCGTGGTGTCTTACATACTATAGGTCTAGTAAGTCCATAGCACTGAAGCTATGGAGAAAACAACAACACTGACAATATGGCAACCTGCCTTTACCAAGTCAAACAGTAGGTAAAGGTCCAATCCAGAGGTTTTATGATCGTGGATCTTTCTGCCCAATGGCAAGTGAAAAAAGAAACTAGAAACAGCTTCCATTTCCCTTCCAATGGAAGACTTCAAATCTCTTTATGACAAGACCTGTAACACCTCTAGTCCAGCAAGCCTGGGGTATTACTGCTATATCTGAACTAATTTCTTCCTGAGGAATGACCAATGGCTTCCTGTATATCACAAAATACATCTTAAAGGAACACTCCGCTATTTTTGAAAATAGGCTCATTTTCCAACTCCCCTAGAGTTAAACAGTTGAGTTTTACCGTTTTCGAATCCATTCAGCCGATCTCCAGGTCTGGCGGTAGCACTTTCAGCTTAGCTTAGCATAGATCATTGAATCTGATTAGACCGTTAGCATCTCGCTCAAAAATGACCAAAGAGTTTCTATATTTTTCCTATTTAAAAGTTGACTCTTCTGTAGTTACATCGTGTACTTAGACCAATGGAAAAGGAAAAGTTGCGATTTTCTAGGCCGATATGGCTAGGAACTATACTCTCATTCCGGTGTAATAATCAAGGAACTTTGCTGCCGTACCATGGGTGCAGCAGGCACAATGATATTACACAGCGCCTGAAAATAGTCCCAGCTAGGTAACTTCCAATAAGCCTATTTTCAGGCGCTGCGTAATATCATTGCGCCTGCTGCACCCATGGTACGGCAGCAAAGTTCCTTGATAGCTAAGCTAAGCTAAAAGCGCTAACACCAGACCCGGAGATCGGCTGAATGGATTTGAAAACGGTAAATCTCAACTGTTTAACTCTATGGGAGCTGGAAAATGAGCCTATTTTCAAAAATAGTGGCGTGTTCCTTTAACATTTCATTCTCAAAAGGGGAAAAAAAGAAAATAAAAGGTAGTTGGACATGCCTGCACATTTAATAATAACCAAACGCCGTTCAACTGACAAGGAGTACATAGTGTTATTCACCTTCGGCTAATAGTTTGTGTATCTGACCTCAGCTTTAAAATCTCGAGGCGATTATTCAGAGTGCTGAGAAACTACCTTCACTGTTCATTCCGAATCCAATTTACACAA